TGTTCATGATTCTCTAGGGTTTCTGCACTCCATTTTTTGGTTGTGACTCGAGGCTAGTCTTTGGCGTTCTTTGCCATGTTCGTGATTGGCAACCAGAATTCTTTCAGCTCGGGGTCGATGAACGCCTTCGTTAGGTGGTGTATTTCATTGGAAGGCGTGAACATGGGAGGTTTCATTTGGTTTGCGAAACAGGGCTATTGATGAAAATTGTATTCCTTATCCTCGTCCTTGACACCCCCACACAAATCCCCGCACCCCCCCCCCCCCNCCCCCCCCCCCCCCCCTGCCTTCTCACTATTTTCAGTTGGGCAGGCCTGCTGATCTGTAAATGGGCTGCCGTGGGTTGAACTTGAATGGGCCGGCTGGTTTGTAAATGGGCTGGTGTGGGTTGAACTTGAACGGGCCCGCTGATTTGTAAATGGGCTGCCGTGGGTTGAACTTGAATGGGCCCGCTGATTTTAAATGGGCTGCTGTGTGTTGAACTTGAATGGACCCGCTAATTTTAAATGGGCTGGTGTTGGTTGAACTTGAATGGGCCCTCTGATTTGTAAATGGGCTTCTGAGGATTGTACTTGAATGGGCCCGCTGATTTGTCAATGGGCTGGTGCGAGTTGAACTTGAATGGGCTCGACGGAAATCATCAAAATATCGAAAACCAAAACCGAATTATTTGCAAACCGAAGCCGCCAAACCGGCAGCGGTTCGGTCGGTTTTTCGGTGTTTCCTTACACCAGTAGTTTGTAGAACAAAAAAAGAGGAATATACTAAGATACGAGATGAAGGAAGAACGTGAAGAGAAAGGCGATGCGCCGCGTGATTGGGGAGCAGCCAAATGTAACCAAAGGCCAAATTTGTATACAAAAGGCCGCCTTTGGTCACCGCCAACCGGGGGCGGGCGCTGTCTCTTTGACCAGCGAAGAGGAACAGAACAAATATCGAATAGCTGAAACAAAAAACTAAAACACCCCTTTCCCACCAAATTGTTGTCTCTCCAAGCAATCAATTTCAAAGAAAACCAAGGAATTCGCTGTGAAACCTGAAGAACGCACCTACCCACTTCCGTTTTCACATCGTTTTTCGCTGTTCTTGCTGTTGCTCTACACGATTCGCCTCGTCGGAACGGCACCCATCGTTCTCGGCGATATCATTTGGTTCACCGACTTCTTAGATTCATCAATGCGTTCCTGAGTTCTGTATCTTGATTTGCTTTGCCTTCCTTGTTTGTTTGATTCAGATAAGGGAGGCCATGGATGCGAATAGTTCGCGATTTCAGTCGTTTGGTCAAACTGAGATTAACTGGGACAAGTATTTTCATCTTCCCTTTCCTTTACTCTGCCTTTCTTTTTCTTTCTTCTCGTTCCATTCCATGTATCTACTGTATTTGCATATATTTCTGTACTTCGATTTGGAAACTTCTCTCAGCTATTGCTTTGAATGATATAGGTGGCTGACTCGCTCCAATATTAATTGACCATTCTGGCTTTGTTGTTTGTTCCCCTTATGCATGACTTTGATGCATCCGTACATTTTAGAGTTATTGAGTGCTCTATTTCGGTTCTTGATGATATATAAGAGAAGAAATATCGAGGGAAGGTGAAAGTTTGTAATTGTGTGTGTGTGAGTAAGATGATCCATAGTAGGGGGGGGGAAACCTCGTGATATGATCTGTGGATTAAATTTGAAACGTCTTCTCAAACTTGAATTAACCTGGGGTTTAAGATAGAACTTGAAATTTGGGATGATTCTGGCTTTGAGATACTCATTGCAATTTGATGCTTTAACCTGTTTGTGAAAATGAAGAACAGGTTTGGCTGTTCTCTCAGTAGTCACAACTAGTCAACTAGATGCTATTTTTTAGTCTCTGGTGGTGCTCGTGCTTTTGAAACGTTTAAGTACTTTGCTTGTATAGTATACACTGGCTTGTTATTCTTGAAAAGTGAGATTGTTACTAGTAGATATTGTCCTCTTTGAGTTTTCTCTTTCGGGCTTCCCCTCAAGGTTTTTAAAACGCATTCCACACTCTTATAAAGATGCTTCGTTCTCCTCTCCAATCGATGTGGGATCTCACAATCCATCCCCTTTTGGGGCCAGCGTCCTCGCTGGCACTCGTTCCCTTCTTTAATCGATGTGGGACCCCCCAATTCACCCCTTTCAGGGCACAATGTCCTTGCTAGCACACTGCCTCGTGTCCACCCCCTTCGGAACTCAATCTCTTCGTTGGCACATTCCCTAGTGTCTAACTCTGATACCATTTATAACAGCTCAAAGAGAACCATATCTGCAAGCGGTGGGCTTGGGCTTGGGCTGTTACAAATGTATCTGAAATGTATCTCAGTTTGCAATATTTGTGCCCTTCTTTCTCAACATTCAGTGCATTATAATTTACCTGCTGGATACTTGTTGCATTTATACATTAGCAATTTAGCAAAATTGTAAGTTTTGCATCTGAGCATGTTGAGACTAAAAAGTTGCAATATCTTGTATGATACTTTGTTTATCAATCCTGCTACATCTTGCAGGCTTGATAAAGCAAAATTTTATGGCATCGGAGCTGGTCTCTTTACCGGGATTACAGTCGCACTGTACCCTGTTTCCGTTGTAAAAACAAGGATGCAGGTTGCTGTAAAGGATTCTGCAGAGAAAAACGCGGCGTCTGTCGTTAAAGGCTTACTTAAGAATGATGGGGTTCCTGGTCTTTACAGAGGGTTTGGCACAGTAATCACTGGTGCAATTCCTGCAAGGATTATCTTTCTTACCGCTTTGGAGACGACCAAAGTGGGAGCCTTTAAAATGGTTGAGCCATTTAAATTATCTGAACCCTCACAGGCTGCTATAGCAAACGGGTTAGCTGGCATGACTGCATCCCTTTTCTCTCAAGCTGTTTTTGTTCCAATTGATGTGGTATGTAGGCTTGTTTTAGTTTTTGTTAAATTTTGGTTTTTGTTCATCTATTGTTCACTTAAAAGCTTAAATATTGATTCCACTCAGATTAGTCAAAAGCTAATGGTTCAAGGATACTCGGGTAATGCAAGATATAATGGGGGCTTAGATGTTGCTCGTAAACTGATAAAGTCCGATGGCATCCGGGGATTGTATAAAGGTTTTGGGTTATCTGTTATAACCTACTCTCCATCTAGTGCTGTATGGTGGGCAAGTTATGGTGCAAGTCAACGCATCATCTGGAGGTGAGACGTGGTAATTTTCCTTCATTTGTGTTTCTTATAAGGATGTGGAAACCTCTCTCTAGTAGATGTGTTTTAAAACTTTAAGGGGAAACCCAGAAGAGAAAGTTGTCCAAACAGGACAATATTTACATACCAAATAGTGTGAGATTTTACATTGGTTGGAGAGAGGAACGAAACATTCCTTATAAGGATGTGGACAACCTTTCCCTGGTAGATGTGTTCTAAAACTTTGAGGGGAAACTTAGAAGGGAAAGTCCAAAGAGGACAATATTTGCTAACGGTGGGCTTAGGCTGTTACAAATGATATCAGAGCCAGATATCGGGCATTGTACCAGCAAGGATGATGGGCTCCCAAGGGAGGTGAAGTGTGAGATCCCATATTGGTTAGAGAGGGGAACGAAACATTACTTCTAAGGGTGTGGAAACCTCTCTTAGTAGATGCGTTTTAAAACTTTGAGGGAAATCCCAAAGAGGACAATATCTGCTAGCAGTGGATTTGGGCTGTTACCAATAGTATCAGAGCCAAGCACCGGGTGATGTGCTAGCAAAGATGTTGGGCCTCCAAGAGGGGTGGATTGTGAGATCCCACGTTGGTTGGAGAGGGGAAGGAAGCATTCCTTATAAAGGTGTGGAAACCTCCCCCTAGTAGATGCGTTTTAAAACCTTGAGAGGAAGCATAGAAGGGAAAGTCCAAAAAAGAAAATATCTAGCGGTGGGCGTGTGCGTTCATTTACATTGTCCTTGATTATATACCTTGGTTCTAGTTTTCTTGTTGGTTACTGTGTTTTGAACTATTGTGGCAAAAAGATGCAATATGCAATAGGAATTTTCCAACATTTATCTGATCTGAGGTTGAAATTTATAACATTGAAGGTTCTTAGGCCAAAACTCAGCTTCTGAGAGCTTTGCTCCAAGCCATACCCAACTTATTTCAGTGCAAGCTGGGGGTGGAATAATCGCAGGTGCAACAGCTTCCTGCATTACAACACCATTGGACACCATAAAGACTCGCTTACAGGTTACTTACTCCCAAACAAAATGTGTGTTATATTGCTGGTACTGCATTCGAGTTTTATAGTTTGATGGGGTATGGAGGTGTTCATAGGTGATGGGCGATAAAGGGAAGACAGCAAGACAAATTGTTGAAAGCTTAATCGCAGAGGATGGATGGAAAGGTTTCTACAGGGGGCTGGGTCCTCGGTTCTTCAGCATGTCAGCCTGGGGAACCTCCATGATATTGGCTTACGAGTACTTAAGTAAGGCCTTCATATCCTTATCTGTTGTATTTGTGAAAACTTTTCCCCTTCATCATCTTTCTGATTGGATGTTGTTCTGCAAAATTTAGAGCGCTTGTGTTCAAATGATGAACAGAGTTGAGCTCATCAAAGATTTTTAGAGGCAAGGCGGCGGCGGCGGCCAACATTTTTTACCCCTCACAACGAGGCCAGGTTCAATTGCAGAGGGGAATAGCTCCTAATTTTTTTAGACATATATTTTGTATTATTATTTCATCACAATAAACTCTGCTCAAATACACAATGTAAGCTTACAATTCTCGCATTTGTATTTTGACTAACAAATATTATTCTTCATTAATCATTTTTATTAAAGTTTTTTTTTTTCTGTTGTTGTTGTATGGATCCACGTTATGAATGTGAAGATTAGTTAACGCTTCACAACAAAAGCATGATTTACTTCACTATCTCAATAATTAATCTTTTATTATTATTATTATTATTTTAAACTTTTAATTAGTTTTGTTTCAGTTCTTGTTAAAAATGGTTTAAAAAATAAAATTGTGAAAAGAAAATTATCCCTTGAAAAAGGGTCACACAAACATGCTTCCCTCCCTTCCCTCTCCTATATAAGCTGAGAGAGATTTTGAATTATGTTAACACAGAGCTTTGAAGAACAACAATAATGGCGGAGAAGAAGGGTGGACGAGTAGTCGTGATTCCATTTCCAGCACAAGGCCACGTTAACCCTCTGATGCACATTTCCAAAGGGTTGGCAAAGCAAGGCATCAAAATCACGATGATCAACACAGATTTCATTCACAGTAAGCTACTGGAAGCCATGGGCCAAAACATGGACCAAATCCTTGGCCCAAACGTTGAGCTCTTGGGTCTCCCTGATGGGTTTCCTCTCCACGAAAACAGAGACGACATACACAAGCTGTTTGTGGATATAATGGACAATTTAAAGCCACAGTTTGAGAAATTGCTTGCCAAGATGAACACTGACCACGACGGCGGTCTTGCTTGTGCCATTGTCGATATGTCGATGGGTTGGGTTCTCGAAATCGCTGCCAGTTTGGGCGTGAAAGGAGCCATTTTCACGCCTTTCACAGCCGCTCACTCTGTTTTGAATCTCAGCCTTAACGAACTTATTGAAAGTGGCATCATAACCCCAGAAGGGACTCCGGTAGAAGAAAAGACAATCGAATTGGAATCACTGGGAACTCCCTCAATGATCCACACTAGTGACCTTCCTTGGCGGTGCGTTCCATTGAAGAACTCGCAAAAGATTTTGTTCGATCACTTAGTTAGAGTGCAGCGAGGGTGCCATTACGCGAAATGGTACATTTTAATACTGCCTCACGTACTGGAGCCACAAGTGGTTTCGCTAAACCCCAAGCTTTTAACAATCGGCCCACTCATTGCGACGGAGGCAGGGCAGTTATGGAAAGAAGACGACTCCTGCATCCGTTGGCTGGACCAGCAACCGGCAGGGTCGGTTGTGTACATGGCATTTGGGAGCAGCACCGACTTCAACCAGGAACAGTTTGAGGAGATCGCGATGGGGATGGAGCTTACGGAGCGACCGTTCATGTGGGTGGTGCGGCAGGGAACAGAGCACCAACTTCCAGCGGGTTTTAAGGGGGGAAAAGGGAAAATAGTGAGTTGGGTGTCGCAGCAAAAGGTGCTAAACCACCCTTCTGTAGGGATATTTATGAGCCACTGTGGGTGGAACTCTGTAATCGAAGGGGTGAGTAGTGGGTTGCCGTTCCTTTGTTGGCCGTACGTGGGAGACCATTTTCTGAACATGAAATACGTTACTGAGATTTGGAAGGTGGGAATTGGGTTTGAAAGGGAAGTGAATGGGGTTGTAAGTCGTTGGGAAATCAAGAAGAAAGTGGAGTTAGTGGGAGGGGATGAAGAGATGAAAGATCGAAGCAGAGTTCTTGCGGAGGAAATACGAAGGTGTTGGGAAGGGGCTGATGCTCCTTCTGCCCTCAACTTCGATCGACTTGTTAAATGGGCGAAGCAAGAAGATGACGATGTTGCTGTTTAGCTCTGCCGCCGCCGCCGCCGCCGCTTCTCACTCCTTTTTCTTTCATTCTATGATATCTCAAATTACTTTGTCCTGCTATTGCATGCAACCAATAATTAATCCTTCTTTAATAATATGACCAAATTATTATACTTTCATTTGGAAGTATGAGAAAAAAACGATTGTTGGAGTGAGAGCCATCCTCTGAGTTGCTGTTGGGCCGCCAGGAAGCAGCCTGTTGTCCTTCCACCGATGGAAGCGGGGGGTGACGCTGTTCTGTGAAACCAGCCTCACGCAGTGTCCCCCAAACTCCAGTGGCGGTGAACTCCGGGCCTTTGCCCGAAGCCCAAGGCCCGACTACCAACTTGGAATGGGCAGGCCAGCATTTAATTCTTCTAGGCCCAAACTCAGCGGACGGCCCCATTCTTCAACCATCTTATTGCCCCCGTTTGGGTCACAAGCCCACACTAACGAGCTCGGCGATCATGAAGGATTCAAATGCGGCCTATAAACAAGGTGATTAATTCCAACTTTACCAATGTGGGATTAACAACTGTGGGTGTCTCTCTTTTTTGAGATGATACCACGCATTATAACTCCTCAAATGGTTTAAATTTCAATCAAATTTTGAGGGCGTTTTAAGCCTTCCTACAAAATACAAACTTTTAACTTCTTTTTGGAGTCGAATGCATCTTAGTAAATATATATTATGTTATACGAGACGATCAAAATACAATATTTACTTGTATTTGGATTAATACACGTTGAAAAAAAAATCAAATTCTCCATGTTATAATCAAGTAAATAAATTTAAAATTATCCTTAATAATTTGTTGATGTTTTCCCTTGTTCAAACTCAACTCGACATCATCTAAAAATTGTTTCTCCCAATAATCCTTAATAAATCTTTGTTCGAATGTCATAAATTGGAAGGCATCATAAAACATGTTTTTGATAAGCGAATCATGATTTTTGGTGAAGATGCATCCAACAAAACACATGTTTTTAATGCCCTCCAACTTATAACTTTATGACTGTGATGCTTGTAAAAAATACCCGTAAACAAATGAACAATGTTTTTTTCAGCAAACTTAAGAAGCAAATTACCTTTGATTTTCATAGCATTCAATGCCCATATTGAAGCAGTCTACATTTATTGATAGTTTTTGAAAGAAAGGTCAAACAGTTCAAGAAAATCAAATGTTAAGAGGTGAAAACAGGGCATCAGAAAGTCATTAGTACCAACAGTCTCGGAAGGCTGAAGGGCAGCAGCAGCATCACAGGCAGCAAAGTCAGATGAATTGGTGGCAGAGGGCATTGTGCAACTTTCTGTACTTGAAGAACAGGTCCAACTTCAAAGAATGAGCAAAATTAGTGTCAAAGGAATCTTGGACATGATAGAAAATAAATTGAAGAAAACACATCCACTAACTTTGTCGGCAAAGGTGAGTAATCTTCCTCGTACAAACAAACAGCCCCCACACACCTGGAAGGAACATTTATTATAATATTCATGCAGAAAATATTAGGATTGGACATGGTCTGGGATTTGTTTCATCAATCCAGAGTTATTCCATCCGACTGTCTCTTTGACAATGATATGATATCAGCTTTCCTCTCACATCACCAAATCATGAGTTCAATCAGATACTGACATTGACATAGTTAGCTGCTTTCAGTCAAACAACCAATCAGAATCTTTCCCACAGAAAAGAACCTTTTACAAATAATGACAATAATAATATATTTAGGAATGCAAGAAGAATATCTTCTTCTTGTCCTTTATTCCTTCAATAAATGTGTTCCCTTTTGGCACTTGGGAAACAGTCAATGTTTGTGTTTCCCAATAAATGAACAAGTGATGGTGAAGGTGGACACAAGCTTACACGTGACCAATGAAAAGGAAAGAAAATAAACAGAAAAATACAAAGAAAGGGAGATTTTAAAGCCATAACTTTAACCTTTTTGATTATTCTATTCGCTTGGTCTTCTTGATGCAAACTTCCATACTGATTTCCCCAGTTCTTTGAAATAATAAACCTATAAAAAGTGGCACAGTAGAAGAAAAACTGCAAAGCATGACTAATAAGCTTACCAATAAATTGGCAGGCTAGTTTCTCTAATTTATGTATTAAAACGATATGCAATATCCATACCCAACACATCATCCTCTCTGAATCGTTCGCTTCAGAACGACTTGTTCACCTGAGATATTCATGCAAATTTACAAGATACATGATACCACTATGTACTTCATCAAAATAAGCAACGGTTTGGCCTTGATTCGACAAAAGAACGAATGGCCTCAATTATCAGAGCTGCTAAGATATGAACCTATTCTTGTATCCTCTTTCTTCTACAGTACCACATCATGTCAATGCCAGAGATTGTAGTCAAAAAGTAGGGGCAGGATATGGTTTGTATGTAGATGACCAGGGAATTAGCTGTGGGGGACCAATTAACTAATTACTACAGTGAAAGGCATTGTACACCCTCGGGAAGATGATTAGGAATGGGGTGTGCAGTGACATATCTTTGGGGATATGATTTTGAAGAAGCATTTCCAGAGAGTTCTACTTGACGAATGTGAAACCTTGCAAAACGATTAATGACAGAAAATCGTTCCAACTCTTGACATTCAACCATCAAGTCCACCATGGAGGCTGTCCTGTCCAATCTGCACGGCAAGTGCCATAACTCAGAAGATTATAAATGATGTTTTGTAGGTTGCAAACTGCATATTTCTATTCTTCTAGCAATTATTAGAAGATTTTAAGCACGATTATTACAATGAATCTAGATGTATAAGTAAAAAACGACTAAAAGCTTTGTGAAAACAAAACCGTATGTCCATACCTTTGCAAGTCACTTTCCAGTTTCCTGGCTCGGGCGTAGAATCTTTCCACAGTAGTCTCTATGTGCTTATCGCCAGTACGTTTTACAGTTTCACGTTCCTCAGACACTCTGAAAGTTATCCACAGAAAGTTTTTACAAAAGCTGCCCAAAAACTAATTAAATCTTTCATGTAATTTACACATTCGAGCTAATTAATCCAAAGAAATAAAGTGAAAAGGAATAAGATTATACTCTGCTTCTAAATAAAAATAAGAGCACAGAAAATGTTATTTATACAAACGCAAAGTAATGACATGATGTTCTACTCCTACTTTCACAATAGGGAAAATCAAAATGTAAACAGTTGCTAGCAACAAGTATGGAAAGGACACATACACATTTCTGTTATCAAGTGTTGAGACATGAAAATCATTTCTTTGACCACACATCAGGCTGCATGTATCCCCTAATGACGCTCTTAAGATAAAGTATATCACGCTATCATGGAAGGAAGAGGCATCTGCTGAGAGAATGGATGATGGTGCAGGACAAACTAACTGCTGTAACAGCCGTGTTGTCGTTATAAGCCTTCTCTTCGATCGAAGCATCACATATCCATCTTCAACCATCTCAACTTCATTTACCATCTGAAATTTAAAGGAGAAAAAAATAGGTCAGCAACTTCTTATTTAAAATTTTAAACAAAGTTTTTGATCTTTTAGTTTTAATGGGAATACTTTTTCTGGCAGCCGGTTTGTGGTTTCTGCCCAGTCTTGTTCTGCCACACTGCAAGCAACATATTCTAGACATTAACAACAACCAGACTAACACATGGTCTTAGATAAAATAAATATTGATTGTAAAAAGAGAAGATCATTTCAACTAAAAGTCAAGATTAAAAGAAATATCCCCTTTTTACTTTGATCGCTAAATACCTGATATTCACAATCCTTTGAGAACCTTGGACTTCTAGATGCCATGGTTGAAACTCAGATGAGTCAAATTTACGTTTTTTAGGTCTCAACGTGTCCGCAGTTTTAACAGTGACAATAGAAGGCAATTCGTAAGGGCCTGTTATGTCAGTTGGCACCGAGGTTGCAGCAGCAGCCAACCAAACTCCACCACTCTGATTAACATCTGCAGAATCCGTTCCATCCAGAGTTGACAGTTTGCAAAAATTTTCCGAAGGCTTCGAGAGAGAGAAGTTTCCACCAGGTTGCTTTGGAAGCAGCTCATTGTAAATTGAAGGCAGCTGCCCATTTCTGAACTTAAACCAGGAAGACGCAGAAAGTGGATTCATCTGAGAATTTTCTTCATCGTTACCTTCCATATTTTTTCTATTAAACTCATTCACAGCCTCACTTTGGCCGTCTGAAGTAAAACCCCTTGAACATGCATTTGGTGGATTCTCAGACAAAGATGTCACATTATAATCTTCTCTTCCTCCTCTTGCAAACAGGTTTAGCATTTTTCTATTTTCGGATGGCAATGAGTTGATCTCGTATGCAAAACCTTGTCCATGCTTCCCATCTTCTCTTGTTAAATTCTCTTTTGACATAATATTTACCTGTTGCGCATCTTGAACTCCCTTTGGCTCAGTCTCCACATTCTTCATTGGTTGAACTTTTTGAAGCGAGTTTTGTTGACCAACAACATGAGGCAATTTAGAAAAGTTATCAAATGGAAAATCTCTTTCAGAGGTGGTTAAATTTTTTTCCTCCATTTGTACTCTATTTAGATCTTGCTGATGTGCATGGGCCAGTAATAAGCTAGAGGGAAACGCATTTGTACTAGTAATCTTCCTTGCCACTCCATCAGCCAGTAAAGTATTATATACATCCGACTTAGTCCTCTGCTCTGGTACCTCATCCTTATGGTCATAATTCAGTGAATTTGTAGGAATCATGTCAGATTCCAGTAATTGGAGTCCACATTTTTTAGAAGATTGATTGTTGAATCCCAGTGGAGCCAATGAAGTTGCATTATGTTGCTGGCTTGTGTTATTTAACCAAACATTTTGCTGCCTTGTCAACAACCCACCCTGTTGGTCTATTCTTGACATAGATAAAGGCTGAGAGAGAGGCAGGGCCTCAAAAACCGGATACTGTTTTCCACTCATATTCCTGTCGATGTGTCGAGATGTATCATGAGAGGAAGATAGGCCATATTGTGGATATCTAGAAGCAGTACTTGGCAATGAACCCTGTGGAGACAAACGTGCTGCAAGTGCACCAGAAACGAATTGCCCTTGATTTTCATCTGTTACAAAATGGGGCGGCAGGAATAATGAAGTAGCAGCTTCTGCCTCTCCCAAACAATGCGAATTTTCATCCCAATGCACATTTTGTGATGACTCATCTGGAGGCATAGACTGAATAGGAGATGGGGGAGCTAAGTCAGAAATAACCGGACTTGTATCCGGATTGCTTGATAATTGAGGTAGGCCTCGAGATGAAGATATCTTATTTGAATATGATAGCTGTTGAGATGGATGAAGCAATCTCATAGGAAATCCTTGAGATGTAGACTGATTGTGATTTTGAGAAACAGATGGATCTGGAAACACTGCCTGAGACATCATAGACAAAGGACTAGACCCAATAGAGCCATAATGGGGGATGGCACTATTTTCCTTAGAATGGTCGACATTTTGAAGATGCCCATTCACATTTTCACTGCAAAAGTTCATGGATATAAAGTTATGAGTACATATTTAAAATAAAATGAAAGTATGATAACACTTGTTCAAGCAATAATGAAGAGACCAACAACATATAGGTTAAATAAAAAGCTTTGGCTCAATGATTCAACCTCCCAGGTGGAGTTGACATTGTCTTTTCTTAACATAACTACCTTGTTTGTTTGTATGGAGTTTGGCCATTTGAGCCCGTTGGTTTGCCGAAATTGGTAGATGCATCCAGATGGCCCCTAGGAGTACCATCTGAAGAATTTAAATTTCTCTGGAAACCAGTTAACTGTCCCTGTAAAGATAAATAATTGCACGCAACATTAGGAAGGTCACAATACAATAATTGAAATATAGATTGGGATAACAAACCACCTTCTCCAATTTCACAGCGTCGGAAGAAACATCAAGAAATGACTGCTGAAAATGACCCTGCCCTTGAGAGCTTAATTGTTTCAACATGTAGTGATCACGGGAGTTACTTTTCAGCAGAAGCTTGTCAATAAATGAGTCACCTGCTTTATCAAAAGAATTTGTAGAACATTAGAATCATCGCTTATCTGACTATTCTTTTTTCTCATGACGTCATTTTCCTAGCTGTTCATGGAGATGTTAACAAGCTTCATATTTTCAAGGTGCCTAAGATCATTATGATCCCTTCGATTGTGTGGGACTTCATTGACTAGTTTTGCAAGATAATGGCATGGACAATAGTTTTAATCGATGCAACTATATCTCAATCAAACACTACCAAATGATTAATCCTACCTTGTGGTTTCCCATGTGGTCGATTAACATTATCATGAGAAGCTGTTATCTGCTGATGTGGTCTGTCATATTCAGGTTGCTCATACAACTGACTTGCCAAGCTCTTGTTTAAGTGCTCGTGTGGTTGAACATGTTGAGATTGGTCACCAAGTCGCTTTTGAGCACTCGTAGTGTCTAACCATTCACCAGCTTTTCCAGAAGGATTTTGATTTAGTTTATGGGAGTCTTCTGGACAAAGATGTTCTGTTTGCTCAAAAGATGGTTGGATGCCTGATTGCTGAAACCCAGGAAAGCTAGAACTCATACTAGAATCGTTGAAGTTTGCATATGGCCTTGAACTTGATGCACTTTGCATGCTGTTTTCGTACCATGCTGATTGCTCCTTTTTACTATCCACTATGTTTGAATGCTGATTTTCAGTTGACAGTTCTGTATTCTGAAAAGTCAATCCACTCCATTCCTCCTGTATCCCAGTATCGCTACTAGAAGCCTCGGCTACAGCTGACTGCATGAGAGCACTCCAACTCCCACTATGAATAGAAGGAAGTGCATTTGAATAATCTGAATGTACTGGGTTATTTTCAAAACTTCCATTGCTGACATTTGTACATTTTCCCAAAGAAGTGTCCCACATATTTTGATCCATATTATATAAAATTTTTTGTTCAATCGGATCCAGGGGAACAAAATACTGAGATGCATCCAGTTGGGTGACTTTTTGCTGTGTGGTACCAAGCCAACCAGTTCCATCTTGCTCTCCTTGAAATTCAGGAAACGATCCATTTGTTTGTGAATAATTCTTCTGCTGGATGATATCTGATCTCATTCTGGCATCCAAACCTTGATTTGGAATTTGGTCAAATAAATTTTTCCCTTCAAAGCCTTGTTTGAATCTGCCCGTTTGGCCTGCAGAAACAGTATTTATATTACCCATAGAGGAGCTACTGAAAGCTACAGGCTGCAAAGTAGGCTTCATGCAATGACCACTAGCCTTTGTCAACAAACTGCAAGAATCACGATCCATTCCCTGGAGCTGAGAATATTGACCCATGCTACCTCCTCCACTGTAGTTAGGAGATCTATTATTAGATTCATCAAGCTGCTGTGGAACCAACACTGTTGAGTGAAAAGATTGGCCTTTCTCGGGCGAAAACATTAGTTGGTTGTATACTCCTTGCGCTACAGAAGATGCACCTAGATATGTCCTGTTCATGAACATTTCTGATGAATCAGAGAGAGATGTTCCATTAATAAAGGATGGATATTGACCCCCTGTAGACTGTCTAGGGAAAGCAGAGATCTGATTTTGAGAACCCTGCTGCCTTGCATCACCAAATTGCTGAAGTTGCTGCTGCTGCCTATGAATATCTTGCATCTGCTTGAACATCATTTGCTGCTGCTGTAACTGCACGTCATTATATGTAGACTGCTGCATCGATTGAAGTTGAGAAGTGTCTAATTGTTGCTGACCCCTCACAAGCTGCTGCGATCCTCCGAGAAAGTTGAAGTCAGTTGACGATTCAGTTATTTCAGACCTCTCAGAATTAGTTGTCAGGGTTGGACTGTCTACTGGTGCATATTCTTGATGTGATTTTAGGACGGACAAGCCTCTCAGCATCAAGACATGTGGATCATAGCTAGTCGTTTCACCCAGGAATGCTTGCTGAGAGTGCTCTGTTTGGAAATTTTGCCCTCCAAACATATAGCCATTCGTATTCAATGGTTGGCCTTCCAAGGTGTCACTGCAGAAACCAGGTCTTGAAGCCAGTGGTGCAAAGTTTCTGCCTAATGACACAGTCAAATTTTCTCTCGGGTATCCTCCCACAGAATCTGCAAATCAAAACCTTATACGGTCAAAGCAGCCATGGTTGTTTCAAATACACTAAACGAACCCAGCATCGATATATCGAGTGAGGAAGGAGTAAAGACAAGAATGACAAGAAAGATTTATACTATTAGAACTATCAAGAGAAAGGTAGAGACCATTGGGGTACCTTGTAGAGTAATGTTACAGTTTTTTCGCATTGAAACTTGGATGATCACGTGCAGTTTTCTAACATGATGATCTCAAATGAACATAAACAGATCGCCATTCAAGACATGCAATTGAAGGCAGCGCTTATCTAATTTTTATTATCTGGAGTCCTGTAACTGTCTTCTACTTCATGACCAGGAATGCTTAAAGCTACAGCCACCAAATGCATCGAAGTCCTAATGCCCAACAAGTAGAGGAAAAATCACTATAAGATTAAATCAAGTAAACACACTAGTAAGAAACTTGACCCGAATTTGAAAGAAGGTCAGTATCCATTTGAGCAGCGTCCTAAACGCATTTGAATGCACGTTCTTCTTCGGTAAAAGAAAACTTGAAGATAAACACGCTTAGTGATCTAGAAGTCGCAGAAAATCCCAAATAAGAAGGGACAAGCAACCACGCAGTGACACATGATTAACGAAACTCCACAGGTATAACAAAAAAAAAAATAATCGAAGCTAACACCACTTGCAGAAAAAACAAATCATGAATTGCAGAGAAATCCCGTGGAGAATAAATTATGCAGCCAAATCCTAGTGCTTCAAAACCAAGACCCGAAAATTTAGCTCAAGAACCCTAAAATTGGCGCGCATCTCCAGTGACGAACATCATAAACCCCCAATAAGTGAACAAAATCAAAAGCCGCCAACAAAGTATAACAATTCGTTAGCTAATTTCAAAGAGGAACCATATAGTCTTCACAATTAGATTAATTTAGGAGAAGAAAATAAACGAAAACCCACAAGGCAAAGCGAGCTAAGGAACACAGTGGCGAGCTGGGAGGTGTGATCTGAGCAACAGAATTATAACTACGCAAAAACTTAGGTGCCGGAGAATTCTGTTCTTGGAAGAGTATCCAAATGGCCACAATTGAAGGCCCGGAACTTTCTTGCCTCTCTATCTCTCCTTTGAGCTGAGATTGCAGTTCTTCATCAACAATCAAAACCCACGACAATTTCCAATGTCCCTACCTCTCTCTCTCTCTCTCTCTCTCTCTCTAATCTCTCCCTATCTCTCTCTGTAGCTCCAAGCTTTCTCTCACTGAAAACTCTCTCTCTCTCTCTCTCTCCAAACATTTCTCAAGTGCTGCAGAAAGAGTGAGAAACTGGTCTCTACAGACATCAAAGCCGAAGATAAAGCGATGAAAACAGTAAATTAGGCATTAAAATAATGCTAATTAACATTATGTTTTCAACAAACTCGGTTGCAAAAATGCCGCTTTAGGTTCGACACCCGAAGCTCTGGTTCGTTTTTAGCCTCGGACTCCCAAAACCAGGTCAGGCTCTCCTCAAATTTCCCCATTACATCTGAACCGTTCATTTTTTTTATTTTACATCCCAGTCAAAGTCTTTTCTTTTTCTAAATTTAATTTAATTTTTATTCCCAATTTAGTCCACATAGACATAATGTAAAAATTTAATCACCCGTCACATTATAATAATTGAAATTTAGTTTCTATTATTTCGTCAAATCAATTCACTAATCGAGTTGGCTACATCCATCCTGTACTATATATGCGTAGAAATTTAATTGATAATTTCAAACGTCATTATATTTATTTTTAGTTAAAAGACATTTTTCAAACAAACAAATATGAATATATATAAAATATTTACGTCTTAATCTATATGGTTAATTAATGCGTGATAATATAATTCACTTTATTATTAATCTCTTCCTATGTTGTTGTAATTTTAATTATTTTCATTCAGTGTCAATATAAATATACCTATTAAATAAATACTTTTGGTTAGAAAAAAAAATTTAGTAAAAGGAAGGTTAGACTATTAAAATAAATTATTATTATTATTATTTTCTTTCTGAAATTTAGTTAAAGCGTTAATATGGGTATTTACAAAATAGCATAATTTTAATATATTTTTTTAAATGTAATTTAAAATTTTATTACATTTAAACTCAAATATTTAAAATTTAAAAGATGAGATTTTAAAAATAGATATTTTAAAGAAATTCATATTAAATATACAATTTTTTACTTAAATAATAATAATAAGTAGAGAGAATGGTAGTTGGAGAATGGAGCCACTTTTGGGCGTGGGATCGAAACCTGGAAGACGAGTCAATTTTTTACCGCCATGCATCTCCACGCGTCTTTCACGGCGCGTATTCACCGTTAATGTCCTTTTTGCCCTTCCATTTCTTCTCCTCTCACTGAATTTACAAATTTAACCCTGCTGTTTTTAATTTGTTAATTTCTTCAAAGTATCTGGATTTCTTGTTTTTTCACTGTTAAATACATTAAATTATAAATTTAGTCTATATAATTTTAAATTTACGTATATTTAATAATTAAAATATTGTTTAAATTTTTAAAATTTAACCGATTTATATTATATATTTAGAATTGAATTTGATCGTAAACTTTCAATTTTATATTGTGTGACTTTGTAATTTTGTTTTTAATATTGATACAATAATGAGTTGTGGTAAAAAAAATGGCTCCAAAAGCGAGGGAGTAAATGCAGTTTAAAGAACAGTTGGGAGCTTGCATTTATGAGGCTGGATATTTTTACCGCCGTCCGTTTTTACTATTGATCTACCCAACAAAATATGGATTATTTTTATGTTTGAATTGTTACTGTAAATAAATAATTTATTAGATTTGTATGGTTTGAAATGAAATGTATGATTTATAAGGAAATAATAGGCGGTGGGTTTTAAAATTTTGAATTTCAAACCAAATTCGTAGGCCCTACATGTTTTATCGTTATTTGATAGTAATCTCGTGTTTCTTTTTCAATGTCGAATATAGACCAAATTCAATCGGACCCAACTTTCAACTACATTCCATTGTAGTTGCCAAATTTACACGTTTTATCACCACTACCTTTCCATATAATACCTACGAGATTAGTCTCGATAACGTTTCTATACCTATTTTGACCACTATAGTCTGTGTGTAGCTCAAATTAGCCTCTAGTTTATAACCTATGGTCGGAAGAAAGTTGATAGGGTCAGGTTGACTCAATCCATGTTTATTTTGTTAAAATATTAAAAAAATATAAATCCGATTTTTGTTTAAATATAAATATTTTATTCATAAGAAAAGGATTTATAAAATAGAATAAATAAATAAATAAATAAATGTGATCGATTATATTTATAAAATAAATTAAACAGGCCAAATTCCCGCGAAAAAAATGGAGAAACGAACCAANCATCAACAATCAAAACCCACGACAATTTCCAATGTCCCTACCTCTCTCTCTCTCTCTCTCTCTCTCTCTAATCTCTCCCTATCTCTCTCTGTAGCTCCAAGCTTTCTCTCACTGAAAACTCTCTCTCTCTCTCTCTCTCCAAACATTTCTCAAGTGCTGCAGAAAGAGTGAGAAACTGGTCTCTACAGACATCAAAGCCGAAGATAAAGCGATGAAAACAGTAAATTAGGCATTAAAATAATGCTAATTAACATTATGTTTTCAACAAACTCGGTTGCAAAAATGCCGCTTTAGGTTCGACACCCGAAGCTCTGGTTCGTTTTTAGCCTCGGACTCCCAAAACCAGGTCAGGCTCTCCTCAAATTTCCCCATTACATCTGAACCGTTCATTTTTTTTATTTTACATCCCAGTCAAAGTCTTTTCTTTTTCTAAATTTAATTTAATTTTTATTCCCAATTTAGTCCACATAGACATAATGTAAAAATTTAATCACCCGTCACATTATAATAATTGAAATTTAGTTTCTATTATTTCGTCAAATCAATTCACTAATCGAGTTGGCTACATCCATCCTGTACTATATATGCGTAGAAATTTAATTGATAATTTCAAACGTCATTATATTTATTTTTAGTTAAAAGACATTTTTCAAACAAACAAATATGAATATATATAAAATATTTACGTCTTAATCTATATGGTTAATTAATGCGTGATAATATAATTCACTTTATTATTAATCTCTTCCTATGTTGTTGTAATTTTAATTATTTTCATTCAGTGTCAATATAAATATACCTATTAAATAAATACTTTTGGTTAGAAAAAAAAATTTAGTAAAAGGAAGGTTAGACTATTAAAATAAATTATTATTATTATTATTTTCTTTCTGAAATTTAGTTAAAGCGTTAATATGGGTATTTACAAAATAGCATAATTTTAATATATTTTTTTAAATGTAATTTAAAATTTTATTACATTTAAACTCAAATATTTAAAATTTAAAAGATGAGATTTTAAAAATAGATATTTTAAAGAAATTCATATTAAATATACAATTTTTTACTTAAATAATAATAATAAGTAGAGAGAATGGTAGTTGGAGAATGGAGCCACTTTTGGGCGTGGGATCGAAACCTGGAAGACGAGTCAATTTTTTACCGCCATGCATCTCCACGCGTCTTTCACGGCGCGTATTCACCGTTAATGTCCTTTTTGCCCTTCCATTTCTTCTCCTCTCACTGAATTTACAAATTTAACCCTGCTGTTTTTAATTTGTTAATTTCTTCAAAGTATCTGGATTTCTTGTTTTTTCACTGTTAAATACATTAAATTATAAATTTAGTCTATATAATTTTAAATTTACGTATATTTAATAATTAAAATATTGTTTAAATTTTTAAAATTTAACCGATTTATATTATATATTTAGAATTGAATTTGATCGTAAACTTTCAATTTTATATTGTGTGACTTTGTAATTTTGTTTTTAATATTGATACAATAATGAGTTGTGGTAAAAAAAATGGCTCCAAAAGCGAGGGAGTAAATGCAGTTTAAAGAACAGTTGGGAGCTTGCATTTATGAGGCTGGATATTTTTACCGCCGTCCGTTTTTACTATTGATCTACCCAACAAAATATGGATTATTTTTATGTTTGAATTGTTACTGTAAATAAATAATTTATTAGATTTGTATGGTTTGAAATGAAATGTATGATTTATAAGGAAATAATAGGCGGTGGGTTTTAAAATTTTGAATTTCAAACCAAATTCGTAGGCCCTACATGTTTTATCGTTATTTGATAGTAATCTCGTGTTTCTTTTTCAATGTCGAATATAGACCAAATTCAATCGGACCCAACTTTCAACTACATTCCATTGTAGTTGCCAAATTTACACGTTTTATCACCACTACCTTTCCATATAATACCTACGAGATTAGTCTCGATAACGTTTCTATACCTATTTTGACCACTATAGTCTGTGTGTAGCTCAAATTAGCCTCTAGTTTATAACCTATGGTCGGAAGAAAGTTGATAGGGTCAGGTTGACTCAATCCATGTTTATTTTGTTAAAATATTAAAAAAATATAAATCCGATTTTTGTTTAAATATAAATATTTTATTCATAAGAAAAGGATTTATAAAATAGAATAAATAAATAAATAAATAAATGTGATCGATTATATTTATAAAATAAATTAAACAGGCCAAATTCCCGCGAAAAAAATGGAGAAACGAACCAACAGGAATGGCGCAGCCCAGCTCGATGTCTCACTGCCGTTTCATTCCAGCTTTGAAGCAAACTGGATATGTTCGAACGGGCGCCGGGCAGCCACTCTTACCGGAATTGGTTGCTCCGTTGCACCAAAAAACCTAAAGCAACTTCATCACTCCGAAATTTTCTCCCGGCCTTCCCTTTTTCCCTCTCGTCGTTCTCTCCACACCAAATCCATTCCCAAAACCCTACTGGTTTTTTTCCATCTCTTTCCCTATTCTCCAACTTCTCGCCGTTGTTCATCTTTGTTTTTTCTTCTAACTTCTTCTTATCCTCCTCCCAACTCCTTTCCATTTGTGGATTTCGTCTTTTCTTCTTATTGCTGATTCAGGAAAAGAAGCGTTTCAGATTTAAGCAAATGGATTCTTCTCTGTAGCTGAGGATCGTATCCTAAACGTTCTCGGCGATTCTACGTGAGTCTCATTGTTCATCGCGATCATTATCTTTCTGCGTGTTATTTGTGTTCGGAATCGTACTTTAAGAAGTTCGCGTGATACTTATATCGCTTGCTCGGTAATAACGAGGATTTCTTTTTCTGTTTCGTTTTTTTGTATTTGTTCAGTATTTGATCTTTTGTGTTAGGAGTATGAATGCTAGTTTTAGAATCATTTTCTCCCTAAACGATTGTAGTATTAGAATGTTGTTGTTAAGATCGTGTCTGGAAATTTGTAGTTTTTGGTTAAAGATAAGTCAGCTGGAGATTGTTGATGTTGTGATTAATTTAGCTTTGTTTCTGCTGAATCTTCCGTTCATTTCTCTGTTTATGAAGCATTCGGATACGAAATACTTGGTAGGATTGTGCACAGAGTAATAAGCAATCCAAGGAGCAATTAGAGATGGCCCATAAAGAAACCGATGTTATCCCTGATCGCCACAACTCCAATTCTTCATCTACCTCGGAGTCACGAGACTCAGCTCTTCAACCAAAACCAGATGTTTTCGAGTTTATGGGAGCTGTGCAAACAGCGGAGAATTTGTCTCTGGGTTCATGTAGAATCCAGAGTTCTTCTCAGATTCGATTATCGGGGGTGCTTGAAAACCATGATCCAAACCGAATACCTATATCGATCTTCTCTGGTAAACCTTCAAATCCTATGGAATGGAGCACTGCTTCGAATGAATCATTGTTCAGTATTCATGTGGGAAACAGCAGCTTTTCAAGGGAGAACTTCAATTTTTTTACCAAGTCTGGAGAATTGATGTTGAACCCCAATTCATCCCTGAATCTACCCAGCCTGCCCCCTCTTGTTGAACCACCAAGAGTTGAGAGTAAAACAGGAATCACAGTGAATGTCTCGGCTGAACCAGTGACATCAACTGGACCTCAAATTCCAGCCATATCAGTTCATCAAAAAGAACCCACCACGACACCTACAGATGAGCTTCGAGGTCGCCAGAGTGTGTCAAACGACAGCATGAATAGCTCTCATTCGTTTCAGTTCCCACTGTAAGCAATCCTGAATCATAGTCATAGATATAATGGCTGTTTTAGAAATGTTTTCACTTTGAACTTGGAATCTGAATTGTTGTGGCTATGAATTCTGCCTTGTTTTTTTTATCAGATTGGCAAGTGAAGGTGCAACGCCAAAAACAACCAGCTCCGTCTCAACAGACTCAGGTGCAACACCACAACAACAGCTAGTGACGAAGCTGCAAACAAATAGGCAGCAGTCAATGAAGCAGGAATCGCCAGAGCATGAATCTCCATCTTCATCTCATGAATTCACGGCACCGCCTCCGGCCACAAACTCGGGTTCGGGCTGGTTTTCCTGCTTCTCGTGGTGTCGATGCCGGTGACGGGATCTCTGCTTGATGAATGTACTACTTGTTTTACGCTCCTAGCTAATTAGTTCTTTCAAATTGAAAGGAAGAAACACAAACAACATGAGCTACAGTTGATTACTGTAATCCTTAATGAGTTACATCAGAAGGATTAACAGTTGATTATTTTTTTCTCATTAAATCATACAATCTCTTGATTCTTGATTCAAAATTTTCATTTAGATTCAAACTAACACGATGAGATGGAACGAGAAATGTTTTTATTTTTCTTCGGAAGAGAGTACAAAGAAAGCTAAAGAGTTCTAAGACCATCGGAAAAAATGGAGGCAAAACGGAGCATTTCAGGCTGAGAAAGCACCAAACTGAATTCAATCCCATCTCCGGTTCGTCTATCCGCCAACGAAATCGAACCAGTCCTCTCAATCGAAACCATCTTCACATTCTCTGGTTTTCCCCACCCGAAATCCAACCCATAAACCCCCAATCTCGGCGACCCAACCACTCCGACGAACTTAATCTCCTCTTCCACCTTCTCCCATTTCGACAAAGTTTCCTCCGCCCCCTTTGTCACATTCTCATCCAACCTCTGTATCGTCTCATGAATCCTCTTCGATGCGACCCCCAATCCCTTTTCATCATCTTCCAATGCCCCCGCTTCCGCAAAAACTCCATGGCTTCCGCCGCAGTTCCCGAAATAGTTGGTCGGCACTACCGGATCCAGCCGCGCCCGCCAATCGGCGTAGAAGCCCAGGTACACTCTCTTGTTCTTCTGTTCTATTCTCGCTGATTTTACCGCACAAATCGATATGTACGCGAATGCGAGAACGAACGATGAGAATCGGGTCGGTGATTCGTCTTCCTTTGTTGCTGATTTTCTGAGATTTTCAATGTCTGTGCGGGTTAATTCGAATGTCCCTCTCACCATTTCTGGTGAAACTCCCAAATTTGGGAAATATTTAAGGCTCTTGATTGATGGGTCGGTGGGGTTGGTCTTTTTTAGCCAGTAGTTGATGTAGAGCAGGTCGATTCCTTTTGGGTCTTTGATAATGGACCGATCGAAAAATGGGGTTAGTTCTGGCGGTAGAGTAATGGGGGATTCGGGATTGTTTTGGGTGTGCTTGAAAATGTGAGCCCACGATTTCAAGAACATGATCGAGCTTTTGCCATCAACGAAGGCGTGGTGATTGGAGATGCCGATGGACAATCCCCTGTTTTGGAACAGAGTGATCTGCAGAGCCATTACCGGAACCGAATCATCCACCGCCGGCAATTCCGGGACAAAGGGGCGGCACTCTTCCACTCTACGGATTCCAGTACAAGAGAAGTGGGTGAAGTCAGCATCAGTCTCGGCGACAGTGAGGGAAACAGCATCGCCAGGGGAGTAAAGAACGGTGGGTTTAGGAGATTCCGGTAGCCAAACGAGATTTCCAGCGAGAGGGAGGAAATGTTGGAGAGTGAGAGAGAGGGAGTGCTTGAGATGAGTGACGATGGAATTGGAGTCCAACAATGGGGGATCGGGTAAAGAGTAGAAGAAGAGTCGCTCTGTGGGAGGGATTTTTAAAAACAGAGCATCAAGGTAGGTAAAAGGAAGAGAGAAGTCGGCGGCGGAGGAAGGTGAGGCCGGAAGTGGAGACACCTTGGTGACTTCCAGAACTCTGACCAGGTTTGCCTTCAGATTCTCCATATGAGCCGTGATTTGAAGCTGGAACTGATGAGAATTGATGAGGTTTTAGAGCGGTTTATATGGTGAGAATTATTTGAAAAAGTTTCAGGATCAGGATTGCATGTTTCACGTGGAAATGGAAGTCGATTGGTATATGATAGAACAAAAATTATATGCTATCAACGTGAATCACGATATCATCTCTCACATATTCTTCACATAATTACCCTCACAATCCACCAATTAATCCCACATTTTAATATTTATAATTTGAAATTGTGATTGTGATAATCCGTAGGGTGTTCAATGACCTCGATGACCCGAAAAATTCAATTAACTTGACCCAACCCGCATGGGTTGGGTTGGGCTATGAACGATCAAGTACCCAATTGCGATCTTGGGCTTCCTTCGTTTTCAATTGGGTACTTGATCGTATTATCTTTCCAGATTAAATCCTTCGCAACTCCTTCTTCGATCGATCTCCAATGCGTACGGCAAGCATTGCAATTAATGGTACATAGTTTAAGCATTCTAATAGTTTGTTTCACATTTTGGTTTTTCTGAGCCCAAATTTTGTTCTTAATTCAACGTCTGATGCATTAGGGCATTGTCTCAGTTGCGAAGTTGTTTAGCTTCGGATTGTTTCTGTTGATAGTTGTGTGATGCTTTGTTCTACTGAAGTTTGTACTGTCTATCCATCTGCGCAAGATTTTCTACTATAGATTGTCATTTAAGTCTGATTTATGAGCGCCAGCGAAGTACTTGTGCGATTTCTTCGTCTCATTTTCTTGATCTTTCCGCCGATGAGCGAAGTGCGAACGGGGAATTCATTCACGAGTGCTTTTGGTTGCCATCTTTGCGGCAGATAAGTTGATATGAATATTTGAATATGAGCGATGGAGGTGAAGACTTCCCACGGGCGCTTGCTAGGATTGCTGTATCCCAAATATGTGAGAGTGAGGGGTTTCAAACTTTTCAACAGTCTGCCCTCGAAACACTGGCGGACGTTGCAGTTCGGTATGTTCATAACATGGGAAGGGCCGCAAACTTCTGTGCTAACTTCGCCGGCAGAACAGAGTGTAATGTATTGGATGTAATGAAAGCACAGGAAGATTTGGGGTCTGTCCAAGGCTTTGCAGGTGCTTCGGATATTGAATATTGTCTCGCGAGTTCCGGCACTGCTAAAGAGATTTCTCGGTATGTAGCTCGAGCTGAAGAAATCCCATTTGCCTACTCTGTTCCCAAATTTCCATTTGTCAAGGAGCGAAAGTTGAGGCCTACTTTTTGGCAAATTGGGGAAGAACCTCCTGGAGAACATATACCTTCTTGGTTGCCTGCAATCCCTGATCCTGAAGCAGACATTGAGCCCTCCACTGTGAAGGAGGAAGTAGTGGAGCCTCAAACGATTAAAACTGAGCTAGAAAAACCATGTAGAAGTGCAGAACAATCCATCTGGAATCTGCAGAGGTGGTTGTTTTGCCATGGATTGGAAGGATCCCAAAGAGAAGGCCCTAGAAATGCAGCTATGATCAAACAAACACAAGAAAGTAACCCATTTTTTGCTCCCCCACTGCCATTTGGGGAAAAGGAAATTTCTTCTTTCGTTCTTCCAGATAGTATATTGAACAATTCAAGTACAGAATATCCTGTTCCTATCATGGAGAACTGTCTTGTGGATACACATGTCTCAGTGCTGGAGACTTTTGCTCCTGCTATTGAATCAATAAAGAACAATTTGTACGATTCTGATGAAAAGTTCTCTCTGAACAGACGATCCACTATGCAGTTTAAGATTGGAACTGGAAAGAAGCCTGTCGGTAGCAGGATAGAATTGAAGGTTCCAAACAATGGTGTGAAGACATCTTCGTCCTGGTTTGTAGCAGAAGATGAGATGTATGACAAGAAAAGGAAGGTCGAGAAGATTCTTTAGGACTTGATGGAGAACTCCAAGGGGCTATCTCAGTTGTAACTAGGTTGCTCGATTGAAATTTGTACACGGATTTAGGAGACTGGATGCAGTTTCTCCTGGTTGTGAAAATCACTAACATTGTATTGTCTGGTATTAGCTTATAGAATGAAAGATTCAATTTTGTGGAAGGAGAGATTCCAGTTTACCTAAATTTTTGAGGTATGCTTATGTTTTATATGAACTACTTCGCTTTTTTCTCTAATAAATTTGGCATTTGGAAATGGTTAGTAAGGAAGTACGAAGACAAGGGTGGGCGAACAACTCTAGCCTCATGTTAATATCATCGTAATCAACGATGTTTCGAGTTGAGGGAGATCAAAAGAAAAGGAGGTTGGTTTATCATATGCATTGTGAAAGAATCATCAGGGAAAAACACTTCTAATAGTTATTGCGATGTTCTAGGAACTTTTTTGGTTAGAGGGATCTGTTGTTCATATTGTTCTTCCTAGCATATATGCCATCACTATCTCGTTTACAATTTGTATGCCCTGGAAATTTGAACTAGAAGCTTGACCTTTAAGTCCTAGCTCTGTCAATGGCTGTTTTCTTTCTCACTTTGGCTTTTGCTTTGCTCATGGGAGTAATCAGACATACTTCTGAAAGTTTTGGTTTAGGTTATGTATTGCACGATTATAGAAACTTCTCTGTGGAGCTTAAAATTTCAAATTTCTTTTATTGATTAAATCTCAATTCTTCCACCCAAGGTCCTACTAAAAATTATAGAAAGATTCTCCCTTTTATATCTTCATTTTACTTTATCTTGGTCTCTAGAACGTGTTGGTGACCTGTGACCACCATGCTAATGTAGACATAACTGTAGCCAAGTTTCTATTCCATGACAGTAGTGGTTTGCTGGTTTCACATCAATTGCTGTTTAATGATGTACTGAAACGCCATGCCAACATGGCTTTCTGGTTTCTTGTTTCTGCTATCATTTTGATTATTTGTGTGTATCAATTATTTCCTGCTAGGCTGCAGTGTTTGGAACTTAGCACTTATCCTTTGCATTTTGCATTTTCTATTCTAACTTCCAAGACCTGGATGTTCCTAGATGGCCTAGTGATCTGTACAGTGTGCTGAACAGAACTCGAAAACAAGGATGCTACTTGTACCTTTGCCTTCATATACAATTAATATTTGTTTCTAATACAGTTCTTATGCCAGCAACGATCTAAATTCACACTGCAGGAGTTGCTGGGGTTGTACAAGAGAGAAAAAAAAACTCTGGAAGGGTAATGTCAAATAAGCCTAAACCTGTAGAAGTAACTGAAGATGCAAATTTTGAAGCGGGAAGTGAGGGATAGATTGCCCATTTATTCATCTAAGATTATGGGAACTCCTAGTTTGCGGAAAATCCCCTGCAATGATCGTCGTAGAAGCTTGCTTCATTCATCACAATCTCAGTTATTAAATCTTTGAAGATCTGCCGCTCAACATCCAACACTATGCCTGGAATAACATCTTGGTAATCTCTCCAGTAGCGTGATGGATGCATCAAATCCTTCCAAATCATGTTTTTTAAAGCATCATCGCAGTCATGGAAACTGCCATTTTGGTTGCTATCTTGTAGCTGCTCAATCTGTGTGCATAGTTCTTTCAAAATCTGTTGGCCTCTTGCCTCTGTTCCTGCAATATTACTTTTTGATTGCCAATGCTTGAAAGAACGTTCAACCACTAGTTTGTCTACAAGAATTTCGTTGACAGTATCAAACTCAAGTTTCCTCTGAACTTTATTGCGAGCTTCTGATATGGAATTCTGTTTAATGCAGGAATTCCCATTAAAAAGCCATTTGACTGCCTCGGACTGCTCAAGTGCAAGAAATAAGTTGGGATTGATCAAGTGTCCTGGTGAGTGAAGCTGAATGGCAGACAGGCCATTTTTAAGCTCTTCGAGGAGACCTGATTCTGATAATATTTGCCAAATATATCTGTGCTGTGAACTCATTTCTTGGCAGTGGTGATTCTGGCAATCATTCAAGAGCTCCTCCTGCACGTTACTGAAGTTCGCTTGTCGAACGTGCTTCCTCAAGTTGTCGATCTCTGACTTCAAGTTCTTAATCTCGGTGCTGAGAGCCTCTGTGCTTTTCTGTGATTGAACTGGTACCTCCTGACTCGACTCTGCTTCAGAATTTATGGTCTCTTCATCTATTCCATCAAAATTCAAGTGTTCTTGTCATGTAACAGAACGCAACATAATTATTATTGGTCATTACAGCATAATGAAGAACGAGATCCATACCTTCAAAAGCATATGATATTTTCTTGATAGGAGATGGTGAATCATCTTGGTAAAATGTAGAATCAAGAACAGAGACGGGACTTTGTTGCTCAGAGCTTGTTAATGTTGCTTTGACTTTTGTGACGCTGTTTGATTCCACTCTATTGGTCTCAGCCTTCAGAGGGTAAACACTTCCTCGTCGACTCGTATCACTAGGACATGTACTACTTTTGCTCGATTTCCTGGCGCTTTTCTGGTTCGAAGTGGGAGATTTTTGCCTGAGTTTTATTTCTGTGGAACATGATCCAACGTTTCTGGTGTTAATCCTTTCGGTCCTGCTTGGATCTGATGATGGAGTGGTGGGGCATGATTCTTTCTCTACCCCAAACTTTTTATGCAGTCTTGAGCTTGTTACTCTTGGACTGTTTCCTGAGGCTGTTGAGACTTCTGTGCGAAGGCCGTGTTGATCCTTTGTCGATTTCGTTGGTTTCGAAATTCTTGTATTGGTAGATTGCATTTTCCCACTGCACAATGCAACATGATTCAATGGCACCGAGGGAGAGGAGTTGCTGAGTTTTTCCAAGTGTTTAGCTGGTCTCATGATGATTATTGAGGATTTCTGTGACTTTAAAGAGTTCAAAACCTTGGCTCTCGCAGAAGAAGCCGTGCTGTCAAGTAGCGAGTTTCTTGGGCTTGCTGCTCCTGAACTACTTATTTGTGATGCACAGTTTGATGCTTGTTCCTTGTTCTCCAATATTGCTCGAGATTTTTGCATAGCTTCAAGTATCTGTTTTAGAGCTCTGAGGTCTTTTCCAGATTTGGTGAATTCAAGTGTTGACAATCTTTTCTCAATCTCTCCATAAACAGAGGAGTTTGGAACATCTGTAGCAAGTTCATGACTTTCAGTACAAGCATTGGGTTTCAAATCCAAAGGATTGTTTCTCAAGCTGGGTGAATAGGAATCTCCATGACAAATCCTTGGCGACCCGGAAAACCGATTTTGTTGTGTGTTCTCATCGTTCTTCCTCGACGATCTGGACAAAGAACTTTTTTCATAGTTTGGGTGAGAATTGATCAATCTTGATGGACTGTTGGTGGTTGAAGATGAATCTGGGAGATCATCCAATCCCATTAACTTTGCTACGACTGTAGATGATTGTTTCGAACTCACCCGTTCTTCGAAATCTTTAACTAGATCATTCGATCTCGTTCCAGAAGCAGACCGCCTAGCCCAGCTTTCTTTACTGTCCAGTGATAGCCTCGGTAGTTCCCTGATTTTTATTGTTGATTTCAATGCATCATAGGACTCCCTTTCATCATAAGACAGCCTTCGATTAAACTTGGTTGCTGGATGTGTGGGAATATCATCCTCTTCATTGGCAGATCGATGCGCTTCTCGAAATCGCACAAGAGCACGAAATGATTCGTTTGATCCTGAAGTCGATCTCACCGGCCTCGGAGAGTCCACATGTTTTAATTTACGACTAACGGCTTCTTCTCCCGCCACAGTTCTGACTGCTTCTCTGTTCATATTCTCTTTGACAATATCCCGGAACTCAAAAGATTTGCAGCTCAATTGCTTAGCAGCAGCAGCAGAAGAATCATGCGGGTTCATCAGAAACTCCCGAGTCGTGTTTCCAGGGAAATCGACAAGGCTGAGCAATGTTGTTTCAAGGTGAGCTGCTCTGTTGTTAGCATCAAGAGATGAAAAACTGGAAGAACAAGAAGTTGTAGACGAAAATGAAGCTCTGGATGACTCAGTGGAGACTCTTTGCTTCTCTTTTCTTGACATCTTCTGGTTTTTCCCCTACAATTCAACAAAACAAGCACTTTACAAAAATGGTCTTTCAAAACTGAACTGAATTGCCATTTGCTTACAGAATTCTCACCAGAGTTCTCTGAGAGGCATTGCTTGGCTCCATTGGGATGCCTTCATTATGACCTGCCAAAGAAGACAGTGTTCATTACTAAAAAGAAATGAATTATGGTGGAAGAAGAGTTAGCAAGCAAGTACCTGGCGGTGGTAGGAGTTTCTTGTGGAGGCGACCGGCGATGCTCCGGCCACCAAGGAAATAACGGCGGTCAAACATCTGAAAAATGGCATTCATACAGCCAAACTGGTTATGAAGGCTTTGATTCTCATGTGATAAGGAATTGGTGAGGTCTGCAGACATCTTAGAACAAAATAGTTTGAGTTAGCAAAGAAGAAAGGTCATAAGATATGGCTTATTTTGGGGTTTGGGCACACAGAAGAGGAAAAGAGTAGTGAGTTTAACGCGTTGTTCATCTTGGGAATGCGGGAAACACACACGCAACAGCCAACAGGGCAATGAAGAAGGAGAAGAAGAAGAAGAAGAGGAAAAAACCAAAAGCAGGGAATGGTCAGAAAGCAGTTAAAGAAAGAAGATGCTCTCTGGGGACACCCATTTTGTACACTCCATTACGTATATAAGATAGAATGAGGAAGAGAATACTAAATATGAAAACAGGGTGTTATGGACGAAGACGACGACGACGACGACGATGTGGGTCAGATCTAGATCACTCCATTTCCTCTTCTTCTCCTCTTTTTTCTTTGGTTTCAGAGAGTTTGGTGTGGAGAAGAAGATAATGGTGGCTGGTGGACCTCAAGGGGTCACCATGTGGTGTCTGTCAGAAAAGTGGAACAAAATTTAAGAAACTCGGATTTTATCTTTACAAACAATAACGTCAACTCCACAACTAATAGATATTATCTGCTTTAGTTCGCAATCCAAAACACAAATAAATCTCGTAAGAGCTCAAACCCACTGTTAGTATATATTATCTACTTCATTTCATTATCGTTCTTAGCCTCACAGTTTTAAAATTCATCTATTAGATAAATGTTTTCACATTTATAAGAAAGGTTTCCTCTCCTCTCAAATGCCTAAATATTCATTTATAATATATTTTAATCAAGTCAAAGTCAACTCATCTTCCATCCTTATAAATTTTAATTAAAAAAATTAAAAGGGTGCGGATTAAATTTAAATTTTAAAATTTTTATTAACAGAAAAGAGGGATTTTTTTATAATTATTTTCCCATTTTCACACTCTTATTTTAATTATTGAAATCCTGGACAGCTAAGCGAATTAATGGCGGGTAAAACCATGGTATGTAAAAAGCAGTGTGTTAAAAGATCCTATGGATTTCTTACCCTATTTGACATCATTATCATTATCTAATTTAAATCATTTTGTCACCTATTTTTTTTAATCTTTTATTACATATAATTACGCTAAATTTAATATAATTTAATCGCTAACTAATATTTCTTTTTTTTATATAGATATTAGAATTTTTCGTTTTATTTTAGAGATAGAAAAAAAAAATAAAAATATAAATGACGAAGATATTATTAATTTAAAATTCCCTCCCCACATAATTATAATAATTAATTAATTAATTAATTGTAGCATGTGAGTTATGAGGAATAGTGGGTAAGGGAGAAGTACAAGCAAAGGACATTCAGCCAAGACACCACTTTTCTATAATTTATATATTCCATTAATATTCTTTTATTTATTGTTACTCTTTTTTTTTTTTCTTGAATTATATTTTTTGGGTTTTTATTGTTTTAATTAAGAGAAATTAATTAGAAAAATAATTTCCAAATATATTTTTGTTTTGAAGAAAAACTACAAATTAGTTTGTTTTTTTTTTTAATTTAATAATATGTAAAGTGCTGATATTCAAACTTAATTTTAATTACATTAAATTATTAATTTTTCGAATTTGGAAAAGGGAATGCAAAGGCACATGGGAAAAGTGAAGGCATCACGTGACTGATTCCCTTAACAAATTCAAACTCACCCATCTCCATCATTTTTCTTCACTATTTTCCAACCACCATCATCACCCATTGTACATTCCATTTCCACGTGACCTGCCCAGGTCACCCAAACCCACAGTATCACTCTCATTCAAACGTAGTATCGATTTATTTATATAATAGTTCAAACCCACCGCTAACAGATATTGTTCGCTTTAGCCCGTTGCGTATCGTCGTTAGCCTCGTGGTTTTAAAGCGCGTCTATTAAAGAGAGATTTTCACACACTTATAAGAGCCACAATATTGCTCTCATTCATACGTGGTATCGATTTATTTATGTAATAGCTCAAACTCACTGCTAGCAGATATTCTTCGCTTTAGCCCATTACGTATTATCGTCAACCTCATGGTTTTTAAAGCACGTCTACTAAAAAGAGATTTTCGCACACTTATAAGAAATGCATCGTTCCCCTCTCTAACCAATATGGGATCCCCCAATTCACCCCTTGTGTCTCTAGTTTTGACACCATTAGTAATAGTCTGAGCCCCACCACTAATAGATATTGTATGTTTTTTCTCATTACATATTGTCGTACGTCTCACAGTTTTAAAATGTGTCCACTATGGATATGTAAGAAATGGCTAGCACACCACCTAAGGTCACCGTTAGCATATATTATCCAATTTGATCCATTACATATCACCACCAACCTTAAGGAGAAGCTCAAAGAGGACAATATCTGCTAGCGGTTAACATGGGCTGTTACAATTCATGTACCCTTCTCTACTAGGGTGTCACGTACGTTAACAAGCATGCTCAATGGGTTCATGCCGCGTGTATAAACGGTATGGCCTAAAGAATAATCATTAAATCTCACACTAGGGATAGTCTCTCATTACAAATATAAATTGAAGATATTCAAGATTGTGCAGTAAGGTCAAGAGATTCCATCTTATCTCATCTTTCATGATGAGAGTTGCTTTTTTAAGATTTTATGGATCTCAAACTTACTCCTAACTTTATTATTTAATAATTAATGATATGATTATAATTAACCAAACTTTTGCATGAATTTGTTGTTGATTAAAACTTTATATTAACCATATGATATGTTTTAAAACTATATAATATAATAACTTGGTTGAATATATTAAACACAAAGTCAATAATGGAAGAAAAAATAATAAAATATAAAAAATGTGGGGGTATGTCTGCAAATAGTTTTATGCAAAGGATTGACAAACTCAAACAAGTTCAATAATTAAATCATAGTCTTCAAAATTGACAGTTCATTGGGATCTACACACTCACATGCTCTTCTCTCTCTCAAATTCATGTAACTTTGACTTTAATTAATTATTTTATTCAACTTTTAATGAATTTCATTATTTTATTTTATTTTATTTTATATGTTTTTAAATATTATATTGCCAACTTTTTTCTGCTTCCAATTAGGTAACCAAGTGGAATTGGAGATTTAAAAATTAATTTCTAATTTTTTATTTTATTAATTTTTATACAAATCTGTAACGTTGAACATTTTAGCACGTAATGGTATCATTTTCATTCAAATGTGATATCAGTCATATACTGTAACGACCTAGATCCACCGCTAGCAGATATGCGTCATTTTTAGGCTTCCCCTCAAGGCTTTAAAACGCATCTGTTAGGGAAGGTTTCTACACCCTTATAAATGATGGTTTGTTCTCCTCCCCGACCAATGTGGGACATCACAATCCACCCCTCTTCGGGGCCCAGCATCCTCGCTGGCACTCTTTCTTTCTTCCAATCAATGTGGGACCGTCCCCAAATTCACTCCCCTTTGGGGCCTAACGTCCTTACTAGCACACCGTCTCGTGTCTACCCCCTTCGAGGAACAGCGAAAAGGTTGACACATCGTCCGTGTTTGATCCTCGAAGGGGGTAGAAACGAGGCGGTGTGCTAATAAAGATGCTAGGCGGCAAAAGGGGTGGATTTGAGGGTGGTCCCATGTCGATGAGAGGTAGGAAAGAGTGTCAACGAAGACGTTGGGCCCTGAAAGGGAGTGAATTGTGATGTCCCACATTGGTTGGGAGGAGAACAAACCAACATTTATAAGGGTGTGGAAACCTTCTCCTAACAGACGCGTTTTAAAGCCTTGAGGGGAAGCCCGAAAGGGAAAGCCCAAAGATAATAATATTTGCTAGCGGTGGATCGAACTTCTGAGTTTTCGATCGAGAATATACACTTTGTGTTAGATGAATTATGCTCACTCTGACACCGACGTTAATTATAATTTAATAAACGAATAAATAATAAAAACAAAAAAGAGGTTAAAAGAGGTAATTGTGATTATGGAGGGGGTAAATATACACGAATGAGTGAGGTTAAATCAAGGTAGCGGTCAACATTAATTACCACAGTTAGCTATTACTGTAAAAAGGATTAAAAAAAAGTTGGCTATCATTATTACATCAACTACCAATAAAAACAAAGTATTTAAATCAATATTGGGAAAATTATGTAATTCATTAAATTAATGATTACTATGAATTAATTAGGTCAATTATCAATTATAGTAAATGAATGTTTGCTATAATCAAATCAATTTGTGATTAATTATTTTTATTTTTTTAAATGTCAAAACTTGGGCTTTTATAGGCCCATTACTTCTTTTATGGGCCGTATGAACGAAGTGGTCGATCTTTCTGCTAAACTATTCCAAATATACCCTTAACCAAATATTAATTTTACTTTTCATTTTAAAAGTACCCTTACCATGCAATAATAATTAGAATATTGGATTAAAAGTAGTATTATTTTTATTTTTCATTTAACAGTATAAAAAAATTATTATAAAAAATTAAGAATAATATTGTAATTTTTGAAAGATTAATTATATTAATTGTTCTCTTTACAAATTATTAATTGGTGAACCTTTAAATAAAAATAAACTTAAAATAAAATATAAAAAATATGGGAAGAAGAAAATCAGGAGACCTAACATTTACACATAAATGGAAAAAAAAAAAAGAAGTCAATGCTTTAAATAATATAATAAATAGGGAGAAAAAGGTAAACCGTTAGGGGGATGTCGGTCAGAGGTCAAAGGGCAATAAAGGGGAAGGTAGGCAGATTTGAAGCCATCATTCAATGTTGAAGCTCATTCTCCTAACTACGAGATTGTAAGTTCGATTGGAGAGGAAAATTAAACATATCTTATAAATGTGTGAAAGCTTCTCCTTTACAGACACATTTTAAAGATCGCGAGACTAACGATAATACGTAACAGACTAAAACAGACAATATTTACTGGCGGCTTGAGTTGTTAGAGTGGTATCAGAGCCTGTCACCAAGTAGTGTGTCAGAGAGAACACTGGGTCCCAAGGGGAGTGGATTACAATATCTATTAGCGGTGGGCTTGAGTTATTACAGTGGTATCAAAGTTAGTCACCAAATAGTATGCGAGCAAGAACGCGGAGTCTCAAGAGGAGTAGATTGTGAGATCTCACATTGGTTGGGAGAGGATAATGAAACATATCTTACAAGTGTGAAAATTTCTCCCTACCAAGCGCGTTTTAAAAATCGTGAAATTGTCTAAAGCTAACAATCTCTTCTAGCAGCGAGTCTACATTACTCTTATCTTTCTCTTTTCTTAACTCCTAATTTATCATCTCGCGAAATCTCCTTATCTTCGCTTAGCCTAGATGTCGCAACTTGTCTGGCCGTTCATCCCACAGAGAAATATGGTCAAAC